GGTGCCCAGGGAAGTGATGGAGTCACCATCTCTGGAGATACTTAAAAGATGTGTAGGTGTGGCACTTAGGGACATGGTTTAGTAGTGAACTTGGCAGTGCTGGGTTAGCAGTTGGACTTCATCTAAGAGGTCTTTTCCAACCTAAATGGTTCTACAATTCCATGATGGCATGGCCACTCTGGGCTGCAGCCAGCTTTTCTCCCAGAATGACTGGAGCTGCCATTGCTTCTGCTGGCAGCAAGCACAGATTTATCAGTGGGTGATGGAGGCAGTAACCTTCATTCCTGCCGTGTCAGGTGCAAGGGGCCAACTGCCCACACTGTCCATCTGTCCACACTGTGGCCTAGCCCGGGGCTCCCTTCAGCCCAATGTGGGATTTGAATGAAAAAGAGAAAGAAAGAGAAATGTAAAAGAAGCATGTGGGAAGCATTACAATTTTTTCAGCTTATTTTAAAAAGATTGTTCCTGGCCTTTCAAGGGACAGCAGGAGGGTTTTATCCCTACAAAGTGGGTCACAGAATGAAAGAAAATCCCAGAGTATCTCATAGTATCCTCAGTTTGTAATTGTTTGCAGTGATTTCAACCTGGAATATTGTGCTCAAGCAAATAATATCCTGGGCAGCATTGGAAGCATGGCCAGCAGGTGATGCAGGAGCTGATGCCCTTCTACTCTACTCTTATAAGACCTTATAAGACCTGGAGTACTGCATCCAGCTTTGAGACCTCAAGTATTGGAAAGGCATGGACCTGTTGAAGCAGGTCCAGGGGAGGGCCACAAAGATGAACAGGGATGGAGTAGCTCTCCTCTGAAGGCAGGCTGAGAGAGTTGGTGCTGTTCAGCCTGGAGAAGAGAGCTCCAGGGAGGTCTTTAGCAGCCTTCCAGTGCCTAAAGGGGTACTTCCTTTCACAAGAAAGAAAGACAGATACTTTTTACCAGGGCCTGTAGTGACAGAACAAGGTATAATGGTTTTAAACTGAAAATCTGATAGATTTCAATTAGATAGGTGGTGATTTGACCTGGTATAGATCCCAGGTGCCCACCAAAGCCAATCTATTACTCTCCTCCTCAGCTGGACAGGGGAGAGAAAATATAAAGAAAGCCTTGTTAGTTGGAATAAGATCAGGGAGAGATCACTCAGCAATTACCATCACTGTCAAAACAGACTTAACTTGGGAGAATTTGTTGAATTTATTACAAATCAAAATAAAAGCAGGATAATGAGAAGCAAACCTAAGCTTAAAAAAACTTTTCCCCACCCCTTCCTCCTTCCCAAACTTAACTTCATTCATTTTTCTCAATCTCCTCCCCCACAGCAGTGCAGGGCAACAGGGAATGTGGGCTATGGTCAGTTCATCTCAGGGTGTTTCTGCCTCTTCTTCCCCCTCAGGGAGAGTCCTTCCCAGAGGAGTCCATGAATTTACTGAACATGACTGTTTCCCACGGGTTGCAGTTCTCCACAATCTGCTCCAGCATGAGTCCCTTCCATGGGGTGCAGTCCATAAGGAACAGGCTGCTCCATTGTGGGTCCCTTGCACAGTCACAAGTCCTGCCAGCAAACCTGCTCTCCACTGTGGGCTCCTTTCCATGGGTCCACAGTCCTGCCAGGAGCTTGCTCCATGCAGGCTTCCCAGGGTATCACAGCCTCCTTGGGCATCTGCCTGCTTCAGCATGGGCTCCTCCATGGGCTGCAGGGGCATCTCTGCATCCCTGTGATCCTCCATGGGCTGCAGTGGCATCTCTGCATCCCTGTGATACTCCATGGGCTGCAGGGGCATCTCTGCTACAGCACCTGGATCATCTTCCTCACTGACTTGGGTGTCTGCAGGGCTGTTCCTCTCACATATTCTCACTCCAGTCTTCTCTGGCTGCAATTACTTCCATGCAGTAACTTTTTCACTTCCCTTCTAAAATATGTTACTACAGAAGCATTGCTACCACAGCTGATGGGCTCAGCCTTGGCCAGCAGCAGATCCATCCTGGAGCTGGCTGGGATTAGCTCTGCTGGACATGGGAGAGCTTCCAGCAGCTTCTCACACAAGCCACCTCCATAGCCCCCTTCCTACCAGAGTTTTGCCAGGCAAACCCAAAACAGATAGGAGAAATTCTTTACTGTGAGGGTGGTCACAGTACAACTGGTTTCCCAGAGAAGTTGTGGGTGCCCCATCGCTGAAAACATTTGAAGTCAGTTTGGATGGAGTTTTGAGCTTTTGAGCAACCAGATCTATTGCAAGATGACCCTGCCCATGGCAGGGGGGTGAACTAGCTATTTGTTGAAGGTCCCTTCCAACCATTCTGTGGTTCCATGATTCAGACATGTTTTGGTTTGGGGGAACTTTGCAAACCTTTGAGTCAGCAACACAGCTACTGAGAGATCTGGGAAGAGACTTCTGGTTTTTTTCCTGGTATCTAGAGCTGAAAATAAGTAACTACTTGGTGAGATAAGTACCCTCCAAATCCAGGGACTGTACACAGACCAGTCAGTGAAATCAGCAGCCACAAGGCTTCTTGCTTCCTGGTGAACAGCAGCTTCCAAACATTAGCAAGGATATCTGTCTGCCTTCAGCAAAGCTCACCCCCAACATGCACAGCTGTGGGCTGGTGGGGCCTGCTGGTCTCTGCTACCATTGATACACAAAGCCTGATACAGTCTGGTGCCCTGTGTGAGCTTAGCAAAGCTAGAGTAAGCACTGCTTTTCCAATAGAAGCTGAAGAAGGAAGTAAAAGCACAAGGCACTGCCAGAGTCCAATGCAGCATCATGTGAATTTTAAGAAACAGGAAAAGGGGATAAAATTTGTTACCACTTTGCCTTGAGTTTACTATTTCTCTTCTTTTAAAATTGAATGTTGAAGATGTGTTAATTTTGAAGGTCCTGCTGGAACCCCAGCTGTAACTTGATGTGCATGGGGGAGGGAGGGGAGAGAAGGAAAGTTGGTGTGCTTTTCATGTGGGGAAGAGAGTCTAGGGTAAAGTATTTCTTAGGTCTACTCAAGGCTCAGTGAGGATCCAAAACACCAACCTTCTTATTGGTTTAAAGCCACAGGAGCCAGCTGTGCACACCCTGAAGGAACCAAGGTCATGCCAGTGAGTAGAAGTGACTGCTAAAGGTTCCTCTTCTGCAGCAGCATGGCTCACCCAACCCAGGGAGAACTGAGCTGAGCTGAGCTGAGCTGAGCTGAGCCAAGCCAAGCCAAGCCAATTCTCCAGCCCAGCAATTCTCCACTTCCCTGGCTGAGCTTGAGGAGCCTTCTTATTTCTTCCACAGCTTCTTTGGGTTTACCACCTACCTATGGAAATGGGGATGGGGACTCACATCCACTTACTCTGTGCAGCAGAGCAAGCTGTGTGGAGAAGATGGATTACTTTCATCTTACTGATTGTTTTACCTCTTGATGCCCTGGATGTTTATTCCTTTTTCATGTATTAATTATTGGCATTCTCTAGGCTTCCTTCTTTCTTAATCTGATTTAAAACAGACATTTGCATTTGAAAAGTAGCTAGCATGTATAGCAAATCCTTTCCCTTGGTTTGCTATTAATGCAGCCAGCTTTGATGTATTATATTAATGCTGTTTGCCAGGGGTGAAACCAACACACCACCTATGGAGAGGCACTTCCTTGGTGAACCTACTGCTTTTACCCACAGGCAAAGCATCTACCTACCCTGGTGAAAAACTTGGGTGCTGACTGCAGCAGCCTGGTGACATACCTGCTCCTCTCCCTGCTACCTTATGCCTGGTTTTGGGAGGCTCAGAGGCTCTGCACTATGTCCAAGATGACCCAACCTGAGGACCTGCCACCAGTGAAGGGTGGATTTACAGAAGAAGGATTAGACATCCATGGCAATGGAGGAAGTGAGAGTTAAGCACACGACAGGGCACCAAATCAGCAGCTGAGGGTTGCGCAGGGAATGAGGCAGGCAAGGGCAGGGGAACTCCTGAACCAGGACTGAGTGAGATCAGGATTTGCCTGATGGTCTTCCTGAGGGTTGTATGCACCAAGGCTGAAATGCATGTGTGCTTCAAAATGATCCAACTTTTATGTAGCAATAACTCAGCCAGCTGAGGAATAGACTAAATCAATCCCCTGGTGAGTTCAGTACTAGTATTTCCTTTATTTTTTTTAATTTTTTTTATTTTTTTATTTTAATTTTATTTTACTCTATCGCTTTGTCCTGGGGTGACGCTTACATAATTTAAGGCTTTTGGGAAGTTGTCTGATCTGGTGCAAAGGGCATATGGAGCCACTGCTGCAACCTCTCAGGCTGAGTTAACTGTACTGGTGAGTGATGGGCACAGGACAGGTGACCAAAGGAGCAGTGCCTGGCCTGCTCATGTGACAGTAGCAGAGGAAGCTCAAGTCACCAGCTTCAATCTACCATGGCTGCTTGTGCAGGCTTTCCCTCTGCTCTCCTGAGGTCTGACAGCCAAACTGCCTGAAGCAACCTTTCCTCACCCTGCTCTGCCATGATACTCCAGATCAGCAGTGACTCCTTGAATGGGAGGGTTTGCTCATCTGGTTCCTGCTGTTAGGGCTGGGGGAGAAGATGTATTTCTGTGTGGCAGAGCTGGGGAAAGGATGGGCTTTGGCAAGAACCAGTGCCAAGCAGTAGGGTCTGGAAACCAGGCTCTCCCAGAACAGCATGTCTGATCATGGCATTAGTTGAATAGAAACAGCTCAAAGTAAACTTGTTTCTTCTTAAATGCTCACATAGAGTTTTGCAGCATGTTGACTTGGTTTGAAAAGCATTTTCATTAAATTATTACAACTTCTGCCTCTGGACAAAACTTAAAGAGTTTCCAGAGCTCATTTACCAAAGGGGTTGGAAAAGTTATTTCAAGTTAACAGCCTACATTACAGTAGCAGTTATTTGAACAGGTGGGGACTGGGGGAAGTAGGGACATTAGCCAAATCATGAATCATAAGCTAATCAGATTGCCACCCATGTTTGCACCAAAAGAAAAGCCATGCACGAAAATACACACATCACCAGCTACAGAACTGACTCAGCAGGAACCCAAACTTTTATTGGGGTTTATTGGGGTAAATGGCTACACTTGACTTGGTAGGGGCAGGAGCTCTCTCTGGAAGTCACCAGGGAGCCTGGCCCCCCCTCTGACAACTCTGAGGATGTGGAACTTCTTTGTACTGTTTGCTCCCCACTGTATTTATCCTCCATCCAAGCAAGGAGAAGTTTGGGGCCTTGCACTCTTTGTCTTTAACAAGGTCTTTTCTGCCTGCCCTGGGATTTGAGGCTCTTTCCACAGGTGAGCAGGAAAAGCATAGGGCCCAACTTCAGATATCCCAGGAGGACATCTCAGGACATCCATAGTCTCTACCTCCTGCAGGGAAGCTCCTCTCTCTGGTGCAGTAGATGTTTTTGACTGTCCAGAAAGAAGTGGGTCACAGAGCTGTTCATTGACCCATCCAAAACCCAGACAAAGAGCTGTGCAGAACCATGCCATGGCCCAGCTATGCGGGGAAGCAAGGGTTGCACTGGCTCTTCACTGGGGTGGGGGCTTATCTCCTCCTGGAGCACAGTCACTGAGAAGTCCCTAGAGTGAAAAAAATATGGAGATTTAACTGGATTTAGAATTAAGTAAAATAAAACTACACTATTGAAACTCTGTTGATGTTAGTGAAATTCCTTGTGCCTTACACCATTGGGCAAAAAATCAGATCTAAGTGCTGAGGCTGCTGGCAGGTACTTTCCTGTTTGTTTGTGCAGTGGAGAAAAGTGCTTGTTTGCTGCTGATTGCAGACTATGGAATAAGAGCAATTTCTCATCCCACCTCCACAGAAGCTATTTAAATAGTTCTACACCCACTTTGAAAGATGCTCAGTTAGAAAGGAGTAAATCTGGAAGTTATTACTCCTCAAAGAAAGAAGCACCAATAAATAGGCTCTGCTAAGGCTGCCGGTGCTCTCGGGGATAGCAGCCGCCCAGGAGCTTTCCCTTCGCCAGCCTGCCTTTGCAGTGGAACAGTTATTATTAGGCAGCCTGCAGAGCAAACACACGCTGCGGGAGAGAGCCCTGCGGCTCGTGTCTGAGGAGCCCTTGGAGCTGACCCTTTGTCCCACTGAGGCTCGGGGCCAAAGCCCAGCTGGCTCCATGCAGGCTCCTCGCAGGCTGCACGAGCCCCCACGTGCTCTCCATCCACCACAGGAGCAGAGGGAGCAACCAGCAAAACCCAAGGACGTGCCAGGAGAAGCAGTAGGCAGAGTGCTAATTAAAAAAGCCCTTATGAAATACTGGGGACAGAATGGTGTCACGTGCAGTCATTTAATGCCTCCTTTTCCTCTCCTTGGGGATCGCTGGCCACAGACTCACTCACAAAGTGAAAGTGTTTGCCAGCTCTTTCCCAAAACTGGAGGTGAAGGTTTAATCCACAGCACCTCTGCAGGGCTTCTGGCAGGCTGCTGCCCACCACCCAGCCGCTCTCCCACTGCCCATGTCCCACTCTGCTACACCTCCTGCCCGGCAGGACAATAAATAGGGAGGCCCTTGTCCAGAGCAGTTGCTGACCAAGTCTCTTCTTGAGGGGATATGAAGGGAAAAGTTAAGCTCAGGTGGGGAACTGGGCCAGCTCTGTGCAGGGAGAGCCAGGTGGGACCCAGGAACCTTGCTGCTGGTCACCCCAGGTCACCTCCAATCCTGATCACACCTGAGAGTAGGCATTCAGGCAGTCCAGGAGCTTTTCTACCCCCACCACATTAGATGTACATGGATTTAAGTTGTTTTCAGATTAGGCTGGACCCAAAGAGAGACTTTTATGAATTGATGCACTCAAAATAGCCACAGAGCAGTCCTCAAATGAATCTCATACAATGCTACTGTCAGAGCCAGCTGCTTGTATTCCGACCCTCAGCATTGCCATCCTGCTCCATAACCAGCACACCAGGGCCCCAGCCCTACAGCAAGTTTCAGGCAATGCCTTGTATGTCTCTGGCTTTCACCCAGCAGAGCTCTGCTTTGAGATTAAGATCTTAATATTTATAAGCCTCTGGTTTAACTATATGTTTAATATCGTGGTAAATCAGGTGCCTACACTGCTATCCCTCCAACTTACCTGAAAATCTCACCTTCTTAACAAACAGCAGTTACATTTTTCCTTAAAAATAAACTAGTTTTAAAATCACTGATTTTTCTCACATTTAAACAGCCAATTATTTCTGAGGACATAAGAAACAGCTGTTGCAATGTTGAAGCTCAAACAGTTACATCTCTGCTATTTTAATGGGCAAGAGTCGATATTTTTATTCCCATGTGATATTACCAAGACATAAGCAACCATAGCACTAGTATTAGTTTGTGGAGCAAAGATCACTCCAATTTGCCCCAGTGAGGAATAATTTTAACAGAAAATTAGCATTCTACAAACAACTCTTTGAATACCTGTTGTGTTTTTTCCCTCTTCCACAGCCCTGGGTAAGCACAATCTGAAGACAGAGACAGTTTTCAATGCAGCCTTAACTCCTTCCAGACAGGAGAGTGGACTTCAAAAAGTGCCTTCCAAAGTTTACCTGGCATTGTCGACCACTGAATAAAGGGAGAGCACTGACTCTGCCTTGCAGCAGAAGGTGAACAAATTATCAAATAGGAGTCAGTTTTTCTCCCACAGCCTTCAGGTCAGGACTTCTGTTAAAAGCTTCACTCTTCAGTCTATGTATGATCACCCAAACCAAAGTGACATCTGCAGGTACTTGGCATCTGTGGAAACCAAAATACAGAGCCAAGCCTGGAGCTCCAGGCTGCTGGTTCTGCAAGGCTTTGCTTTACTCTTTGGAAATCCTTGTTGTACTTAGCCAGGAAAAAGCATGCACGTGGCACAAAGAATGGTGATTTGAGCATTGAACAGAGTAACAATTTTTAACTGCTCATGTGTCTGTCAACAAGACCTTTGCAACGTCTTAGCTCCATTGTATTTTTATCCTTTTTCCCCTAGGATCATGACACGCTTGACAGTGGTGATAAATCAGCTCTCATGCTGTCCTATTAGCCAGGAAAATATTATCAATCCCATTTAGCTGGAAATGTGAGACCCACAGGTAGCTTAATAGAGTGATTACCCAGGTAGTTACCTATAACAAGCCAGTCTCAGCAGGACAGTCCCATTTCACCCCCTCAGAGAGGATGCTCTCCTGGAAATTGTAGGTGTGATTTTAGGTCTCCTCCTTGGGCAAACACTTTAAGTAGAGAGTTACCAGTTTTAAAAAAACAGGGGATAGGGACAGGTGAGAGAGTGAGAGCATTTTTCTCTTATGCTTTGAGTGGATTTCAGTGCAAGAAGCAAGTTCCTATGTTAAGCTTTGAACTCTGTAGATGGAGAAACATCTAATGCCCAGTGAATCAGTTAAGGACATTACTCAACATCATCAAAACTAACATGCATCCAAGTGTGTGAAGCAGTAGGAAATTTTTCACATTAAAAAAGTGGAAGGTGCCTCCAGATTTAAATGACAGCTGAGCCAGGAACACTGAGGAATTAAATTTTGAAGGCATCTAAAGCTACAACTGGACACTGAGAGAGACCTAAAAATGAGGAGCCCACATTAATCTACCTATCTAAGAATTTGGCCCCAAGTGACTTGCCACAGGTTGGGCAGGTGTTAAGTTACAAAGTCAGAAATAGAAAACCAATTCCCTCTCCTGGCCTTTCATTTAAAGGCTGGACAGATTCCCAGACAACTGTCAGGTACATCAAGATATAAAATTATTTGGAAGAGTGCAAAGGGTAATGAACCAGAGTCAAAAGCCATCTGCAAATTTGCAGACCCTTAGCAGGCAGCAGTGGCCAGAGCAAACCTGGGGTTGGTGACTTTTGTTCTTACTAGGTGGATACCCTTTCACCACTGATTCTTCCTCATCTTCAGGCAGAATTTGTATTATACACTGGTTTCTGCTCCATCATCTACCTGCCAGGTGGCAGATGCAGGCAGAGAAAGGTAGGCTTCCTTTTTTAGAGTGCTCAGCCTCCAGAGCCTGTGCAGGCTGTGGATTACTCTCCAGCCAAAGAGCTGAAGGCTGGCTGTGTGATTCCTGCCACACTGCCAACAGGGCCTGAGAAGCAACAAGGAAGTGGTCTGGGCATAGGCTGATTTTGCTCTGTGACATAGGAAAACTATAAACAGTGTGTGATGGCTGGTTTGAAAGGTCATCAAAAAGGCAACTGATCACCATAGCCACTCTCTCCGTGGTTACAGGCATACACACATCTCCTGGAGTAGGTTTTGCCTGGCACAACAGGATCCAGATCTCTCTGGAGCAATCAGATGGTAACCCAGGAATCCTACAGATAAAGCCTGCTAGCAGTGACCTATAAAGGTTTATTTCTCTGTGGAATAAAATGACAACCTCATTGCCTTTTTCCAGATGCAAATACTTCAAATCTGAAGTATTCACTGGTGCTGTGAAGTTGGCAACAGTGTGGGTACCTCATGTGCAGGGCAGTTCAGCTGGAAACCCATCAACTTTCATTCCTATGCTTCCCTGTTGCAGGGAGCAGCACCATGGTACCACAGGCTCATCAGCACCACATCCTGAAAATCTATTTGCAACAGCTACCATCCTTGGCACAGGCAGCAAAGCTCACAGCCTTCCTTTTCTGTTTGAAACTGGTCCCCAGAGGCTTAATTTGCAGAGCAAATTTGCAGTAATGGGATTCCACCTTCCTGTGGCTGACAGAAGGTGCCTCTGCGAGCTGCCTTGGTTCACCTTTCAAGAAGCTGACCTCTTTTTTCCTGAACAGCATCTCAGTTCTGGAATGTGGGCTGTGACAAATGTTTCAGAGAAAGACTACAGGGCTAATGAATAGATTAATACTTAATTACACTTCCCCACTATTGGGGCATTGTCCAAAATTTCTGACCCCTGTACCTAAATCTACACCAGCCAAAAATATGACTTTGTTCTCAGAATCTTTACATTTTCTTATTATTCCCAACTTCTTCCTGCACCAGTCCCCCTCACAGTCGAATTATTTTTGAAGGGAACTGTCTTCTCTTGGCTCCAACTGCAGGATTGACATGCATTTTCTATCAGTAATACACCCTTCCATAGGAAACGGTCACCACATTTCCTGAAGAAACTATCTAGCTTCACACACATTATGGTGCATTTCTCCACCTCAACTCAGCATCAGTGCAGGGAGAAGAGGAAAGGACACAACAGCAGCCTCAGCTCATTCCTGGGACATGCATGGAAGAGCACTGGGCTAGGGAAGCTTTTGGCTGATGTGAGGTTTCTGTCCCTCAGGTGGTGTAAGACCCCTCTGTATCTTGCAGGTGGAGAGGGGACAGTGACCCAGGAAGGCCAATCTATTACACTTTTAATATAGGATATGAGCTACAAAGAAAACACTTTGGGACAGGCTTCAGTATTGGATAGTTACTTGACATCCAGGGTCTTGTGCAAGCCCCTCGAAGCCAGCCCAGGTAATTGCTCCACTATAATTTGCTGGGCTAGCAGGGCTGAAACAGATACATTCATTGGCGATGCAATCACCCCTTCCAGCACTTCCAGTGGTGCCAAAGCTAGCTGGGGCCCCCATCTGTGTTCCTGCCATCCCATCTGGCCTGGGCCCACCGTACAGGCCAACCTGCCTGGGTGATGAGGGCTCTCCCAGAGCACGGGCTACTGGCGATGGAATTGAATGCCACGGAGCGGATGAGGTTAAGCTTAAATACGTAGCTGCAGGGATGGCTGGGCGCTTAGACAGCTCCCTACACACCACCCATTTATCAGCATCGTTTTGCTGTCTGGCAGCCCCGAGGAGCCGCCTCAGCGGTGCGGAGGGCCTGCTCCCCGGGCCGCGGACCACACCGCATCCCGGGCTGCGGGGGCAGCCCCAGCGCTGGCAGCGGAGACACGNCGGGACGCCAGCGCCGGCCTCTACCGCGGGCGCCGCTGCCGCATGGAGTCCTGCTTCGACTTCGCCCAGTGCCGGAAAAACGGCTTCAAGGTCTACGTGTACCCGCAGCAGAAGGGGGAGAAGATCGCTGAGAGCTACCAAAACGTCCTGGCCGCTATCGAGGGCTCCCGGTTCTACACCTCGGACCCCGGGCAGGCCTGCCTCTTCGTCCTCAGCCTGGACACGCTGGACCGAGACCAGCTCTCGCCCCAGTATGTGCACAACCTCCGCTCCAAGGTGCAGAGCCTCCACCTGTGGAACAACGGCAGAAACCACCTAATTTTTAATTTATACTCTGGTACCTGGCCCGACTACACTGAGGATGTGGGATTCGACATTGGCCAGGCTATGCTGGCCAAAGCCAGCATCAGTACTGAAAACTTCAGACCCAACTTTGACGTTTCTATCCCGCTCTTTTCTAAGGATCATCCTAGGACAGGAGGGGAGAAGGGATTTTTGAGGTTTAACACCATCCCTCCTCTCAGGAAGTACATGTTGGTATTCAAGGGGAAAAGGTACCTGACGGGGATAGGGTCAGACACCAGGAATGCCTTATATCACGTCCATAACGGAGAGGATGTTGTCCTCCTGACCACCTGCAAGCATGGCAAAGACTGGCAAAAGCACAAGGATTCGCGCTGCGATCGAGACAACGCCGAATACGAAAAGTAAGTGAGCGGTGCCCCTTTCCCCGTGCCTGTATCCCCAGGGCATGCCGGCCTGCCCTCCGCTGCAGGCGGCCCGGGCCGCCGGGCAGATGTCAGCAGATGTCAGCAGATGTGAGCAGATGTCAGCAGATGTGTGCCAATGCGCTGGCAGTGGCCAGAGGGAAGCATTTATCGCTCCTTTGGGCGAGTCGGTGGCTTCTCCCGTCACCCGTGAGGCTTCCGGCTGGCTCCGTGCTGCCTCGGCCGGGGGAGCTGGGGAGGCATTGAAGGGCGGTGCAGTGTCCTGCAGCCGTGGCGTTGCTTGCCCGGGGACTGATGCCCTGCATCCGCAGCCCGATGCCTTTCCGAACGTTGCTAGCGCAGAGGTGCTGTTGGAGGATGCGCTGACATTTGACACTGCTTTTTGTCCCCCCAGCGCTTCTTAAACCAGACGCCCTGTGCTTTCCCTGCCCTGAGACTAAGTTTGAAGGAGTCCTCAGCTCTCTCCAGGTCGCATGTGAGCCAGGCTTCCGAAGTGGGTTGGTTGCTGAGGGCGATGGCTGGGATGCGCTCTCCAAAAAGCACTGCCCGGTGTGTGACCTGTGTCTGTGTATTCACAGACAAGCTAGTAGCTTGCCTTGCCGTGTTTCTCCTCTCAGTCCAAACCAGCAGAGTATCAGTAAAGAAAGAAGTGTTGGCTGTGTTTGTGTCTTGTGTCTGAGTTTCTGATTTTTACATGTGAGAGGATACACCAGTGATGCCAGCTCAGCGTATGCTTTCTGTGAACGCCTGGTTGCTTGTCTTTCCTCGACTTTTATTTTTATTTGTTGGTAATGTCACTATGAAGCCAAATTTTCTCTCGCCGTACTACTGCCCTTGTCTTCCAGTCTGCTTTTCAGGTTTGTATATATAGCAGCCGGGAAAATCGCTTCTGGGAATTACCTCCAGGACTGCGATGCTGACTAAGCCGTTTGCAGCTGATTAGTTCATTTAAATGCCGACCACCGCTATGTTTGCTGCAGAATAGGTGCCTATATGCGAAGTTTTTCACACGAGAGTATTTCCTGGGTAGCATGAATTACACATTGAATTAAAACAGACCAGCCGTAAAGCACTGGGTGATGTGCGGTGGAGGGAGCTGCACCCAGAGCTGCCAACTGCTGGAGGGTTTTGTGGTGCACAGAGGAATGTGGGTGGAAAAATACTTCTGGAGAGCATTTGGGAAGAAACTACGCTGGCATTAATACTGGTGAAAATTTCCGACTGGCTGGCTGTTTCTCCACCGAAACTATCCCCAGGGGTTGGGAAGAGAGCGGGAAGGTCGGCATTGCAAAGTCGGGAAGCCTGCATGAGCTGACTGGGTGAACTCTGCTTACCTTTTGGTTACTGTAATTCTGCTGCAGGGAGGGAGGAAAGAGCAGTGCAAATACTCGGTGGACTTTTAATCACATTCATTTTCAGAAAACTGGTGGACGAGTGGTGAAATAATGCACACGTGGAAGCAATAGAGCATCAGTGCTGGGTGATCAGTAGAGATATTAAGCTAAGCATTTGTCACCCAAGGGCCCCTTTGGCTTGTGACTTCCTTCAGGGAATATATGTTTTGGGAAAGAGGGGAGACCTGACAATTGCAGCCTTTCAGGGTGTATTGTTTTTTTGTTTCTAGATATGAGCAATTGGAGCTAATTTACAGATGGGAAAAATCTGGCTATTTGGGGTATACTACAGTGTGTGTGCTGTCACGTTGTCATAAAACCAAACATACCTGCCTGTGGTTTCATGTGAGTCAAATTTTTTACAGCTATGCCATTGGATCTAATAAAAGATAGATCTCTGCCTCTGAGTTCTGCTCCCCCTAAAGTGTCTTTGCCACTTACTGTGGTGAGATTTGTACATAGCAACCCTCAGGGGGTACAATAGCATGAACCCAACCGGTATGCTGTGCTATTCATACAAAAAGCATACTTGCCACTAGGATGTGGCCGTATCTGGAGTGAGGGGCTTCAACATTTGTTGCAATGCTGCTGTTAAAAGACAGGAACTGAAAACAGATGCTGACAAGAGAATAAGATTACTCCAAGAATTGAGGCAGGTGGTCAGTCTGTGGTCAGGCTGCTGAGGTGAAGAGGTTTGCTCTAGTGAACAACTGCAGATGCTGCAGCTCTTTGCCCCAGAATCTTACCGGAGTGAGGGCACCTGGCAGAGTGTGCTGCTGCCCCTTCTCACTTGTGCCTCGGTGCAGATGCACAGCAGAGTGTGCCATCTGCTGCTCTCCCAGCACCGCATCCTGCCAGAGCCTGCATCCTGCCTCCGTGCCCGTAGGGACCGTGCCTGCTCCTCTGCTCCCTTTATAAAATCTGCCAGGGTCACATCTCCGAGGCAGCACAACACAGCCATCCAGTTGAAATGCTGCTGTACTGATGTGTAACTCAGGTGTGTAAGCTATAGAAGGAGCTCCATTTTTCATGCCACGTGAAGCAGCATCCAGTCATCAGTGAGGCTGTAGTGCTTGGAAAGAAGTATCTATACATCTGGGCCTTGGAAACTGCACACAGAGTGGCTCTTACGAGGTGTTTGGGGCTTGGATTTAACAATGCATCCTCAAGGTTTTAATCAAAAAGGAGGAGAAACATACTCTCCAAGATACATCTATTGGCATATCCATAAACAATTGGGAGTTGTGTATTGTGCTTTTCTGTGCTGATTTTCCTATCCTCTGCTGTGATACTTACACCACTTCATGTGAAAGACAGTAGTGTAGGTGTCCTGGCCATGGAGAGCTGGCCTTGAGATACCAGTGCTTGCTAGGGTGATAAATGAATGATTTGGTCTAGGTTAGAGGCCTTGCAAAGCCAGGTAAATGAGGTGACCAGATTTTAAAATGTGCTAGCCTTTTGTTAACAGGGTAGTGGTGTTATGGTGTGTTGGGCTCAGGGCTGCACAGATCACAAGTTACTTGTGATGGGGTTTCATCTAGGATGTAACATTTGGTGTTGGGTTCACGTGAGGTCCAACTGTCTGCTGGATGTGGTGTTTCCTCTCTAAGAGATTCAGAAAGCCAAGAAAGGTGACTTTCTGACCTCTGGAAAAATGTGTGGAGTGTCTTTGTTTGGGAAAAGGAGGGATGGGCATGTGTGTATTTGACTGTCTCTGTGAATTGTATTGAAAGATCCATCTGTATGTCACAGCTAATTAATTTGCATCCTAGTTATGCATCTCAGCAGATAAAGCTGAGGCAAACTAAAATGAATTACATTATCATGATTAGATTGCTAGCAAACAGGATATAAAAGAAAACAAAGAAAACCTGGTTTTCTTTAGAGTGTCCTTGGTTGCCAGAGTTGGCCTTTGTCACCCAGCACTAGGGCAGCTGGGCTTTCTGAATTCCTCCACAATAAGATTTCAGCCTCAAGCTTTCCATTTCACAAAGGGTTAAAAGAATAAAAGCTGCTGCTGCTGAAGTTTGAAGACAGCCTCTTAAATATTTAATGGCAGTCTAAATATATACATATGTACAACGTGTTTTAAACAAAGACAGAATTCATATACAGGCTTAACTGGTTCCAAATAATTACTTTTTGGAAGGTAATATAAATGACTCTGGATACCGAAAGAAATGGAGGAATATGATGTTAGTAAAGCCAGATGCAGAGAAGAGGTTTGCACCAAAACGAGGATCCTTCCAGGAAAGTAAAATAATATCTGTGGCATATCCCCTGACCTGCAGCAACCCTGCCCTTGGAAGATGGAGGTGATAGTATCAGAAAACATATGGTCGCACCAGAAGCTCATTCAAGGAGATTTTATCATCCATGCTTGATATCTGAAATGATGAGAATGAAGCAAAAGGGGTAAAAAAGAGAAAGGAGTATAATGGAGGAGGAAAAGTGAAAAAAGCTCCATATTTTTGGAGAAAAGTGAGTTATGGTGGAGGACAAATAGCATAATGAGGTAGTTTTTATAGACTAGGTTTTTTGACTAGTCAGTGACCAAAAAGCCTGTGTGATCATGACGGAACTGAGAAAGGGGGGTAAAACATGCAGGACCTCATGAGGTGGGACTAGTTCTGCCAGAAGAGGTTGGAGGCAAGTGGTAGTGGAGGAGGAGCCTATGGAAGGAGCTAGCTGCTCACAGATCTACCTGCGGCTGCTGGGCGCTGGCAGAAGAGGGAGAGAGCAGCAGCACATTGCATGCTTGTACCAGTGAGACATCTCTGCAGGGCACACAGTAGCACTAGACAGGGTTGGATGTGTACCTCTGCAGAATATATTCAGCTGAACATTCTCATTGCTGCCTGGTAGCCAGTAGGTTTACCTGGTGTGCACTCTACTGGTGGAACATATGCCAGTCACAGCTGAACCTCCCACCTTTGAAAGTCATGAGTAAAGGTCACAGTCGTGCAATAGGCACAGAATGGGAAGAAGAGCAAGTTTTCATTTTGCTTCCTTCCCACTAGGAAAAAAAATATGCATACTGAAAAAAAGAGGTAGAAGTACACATGAAGGCTGACTTTGCCACTCAGCAGACTGGCATGAGAATGTGAAGTATGGCTTAGGCTTGCCCGTCCAACATGTGGTGATAATGTGAACAGTCCATATGCATGCATGTATGTGCATGTTTCAAACAAAGGTGAAATTCTTGCATTTTTAATATACTGAGCTTCCGTGTATTGTACTAAAATACAAATGAAAATGCCACACTTAATCACTCACTGGATTATTGTTTGAATAATCTAAAAGCCTTCATACGTCAGCTCATTTGCAGCTATTTAGGACAGGTCTGAAAAATCACTCAGGTTCAGGTTGGCTGTTGTTCAGGACATCTGAAATGAGATGAGAACCAGTCAATGCATCTTGTATATCACCAGGCTGTTTTGGGAGCTTGGATAAAACTCAAAAACTACTGAGAGCGCTTGGGCATTTTCCCAGAGTATCTTGGCTCCTACAGAGACCTGTCCCCACCAGACTACTTTTTAATATTGACTTCTGAGAAACTGGAAATTTGCCTGGTTTACAATACAT